AAACTTAAACGAACTCCGGGTAAAATAAACGTAATCCCTTTGTCAAACTTGCTATTTACAATAAGTTAATAAATTAATACGGTTGAAAATTATTTCATATTCAATAACAATGTAGCATCAATATAATTGATACAAATGAGGAGCATACATAGCAGTGAGAATTGCACATAACAGGAGGACTGGAGGTATGGAGCAATAATGATTGACAGTGCACCTTTCCACTGATGTTCCTAATTTCCTGTAATTGCTTAATAGGCATGGAAATACTTTGATTGCAGGGGATAGATTGGATTCACTTATGTACTGAGATAACTTAACCGAAATAACATAACTGCCTAGATACATTGGCTAGTGTTGGGTGGGATCATGAATTTATCGTAAGAGTTATCCCCTTGGTAATTCTCATCAGTTAGCACCATATTCATAAGAGTTTCTTTGTATAACTTATAAAATTTCTTAACGTCGTCACACTCTCTAAGGGACTTTGGTAATATGTTCCAGGCCTTAGTTCCTAGATAGTTAAACTCCTTGTGAGATCTTGATTTAGGAGTATAAAGATTGCAGTTTTCTGCCTCACGTGATCCACCAGAAATATACGAGAATTTCCCGATAAAATGCTTTGGACATGTTTCATTGATTATACGGTACACATATGAGCTAAGACAGGAGTGTCTTGTATCCTGACTTCATTGCCTCTGAAAGAATTTGGTTTCACCATGAATAAGACAGAGTGACTACATTGCATTCAGATATAATTTTAAAATAAGCAAGAATCTGTGGCTGTAACCAGGTGAACACCAGGTAAACACAGAGAAAGCTTTTAGTCACTGTGCAGTTAAAGTTTTTAATTCCTTGCCATACGACATAAGATCAGCTGAGTCAGTTATATCTTTCAAGACCAAACTTAAAACATACTTCTTTTCTCTAGCATTTGATTGATTTTGCATTTACATAGGTAAAATGAACTTGTCATGTCTAATTTTCAATTAAACTAAGCTCAGTTAATGTAAGAGCCGCTTTAGAAAGCACTGGAGTTTATCTCCAGGATTAAATTATATCAAGTTATATGATTTAGCTATAAGGCGGTTTATAAATGTTGTATTTATTATTTATTATTATTATAAAGGGGACATATACAAAAAGCTTTTATGTCCCGAACAGGCTGTAACTTCATATTAAGAAAGTATACATTAAAACAATAAGATTTGACACATTAAAAATTATTTTTGAGGAACCGCACTTTCGAAAAAATAAATATTTTCTTTTTCGAAAATTTTGAAAATTTTGAGAAGTCTGTCACTGTTATACCGATATTTCAGTCGTTTATACCGTTTTTTGGCAGATTTTTTTTCCTGAACATTACTTACACTCCGTACAAGAAGTCCTTCAAAGGATTTTATAATTAAAATATAGATGACGAAGTTACAGACCAAACAAGGTCAAAAGAAGCAAAATTGAAATTTTTGTAAAAATCAAAGTTGTATATTTTACCATTCACCCAGGTCATAAGATATCGCTTTTAAAATTCTTGTGAGTGTAGCTGATGATTGTTCAAGTACCATTGCATTTCAGAATTCTCTAAGATTATCAAGTACCACTGCCCATACTCCCTTTATGAGGCCATCAACATTTCAAACCGTACAACGAGTTTAACGGTTATTCTTCTTAATAAATCAAATACTTTTTTGTTCACTGCAGCCAAGCTTTGGAACACTGTTCATAAAAAAATTCTAACCTCAAGCAATTGCCTAGAAACTTCCATTAACTTGATAAAATTGAGAACCAAGGCACTATTATTACAAGTACAGGCTGCTGATTTAAAAGATACTTGGAATCCAAACAATTTTAAATTGCAGTAATCTATTCTAATCGCAGCAGCACACACTTAACACACTTAATATTACTATCATGATTGTATTATAGACTGAAAAGCTCTCAGATCAATTTTGGGCGTTTTTAACCACTTGTTGTAATGTTTTTAATTATTTAATATCTTAACTTAACTAAATTTTTATTCAGATCGAATTAACAAATAATATTTGATAATTTATTCGATAGTTTAGTCTGATATTGATATTGACTATATTGATATTGTTATTATTGAATGAAGTTAACTCCAGACGTACATAATATTACTTCTTTTAACAAAGGGACTTGGAGTATAAACGACCAAGTTAGCATACATTTTCAACCAACCAAGAATTCTGGAGGCAAAGGTGGGTGCGTAAACTTTATGGTCTGTACTCTCCGATCCTGTATCACCCAGGATTCTTTTCGACGTTTTTGGTAAAAGGTATATACCTTCTAGTCAATCTCTTGCTACTCCAAGTCCCCCAAGATTTCTAAACTAAAGTTCGTCCTAGTTATATTATATTATATAAAATATATTTTTTGTTTGCTGTAACTGATACTAAATAAAATTGTTGTTTTCCTGAAATTGTTGTTTTCCTGATCATATCTAACTTTTTGGAATAGGATTTCTCTCAGTTTTGAGTTTTAAGGTATGAAATGTGGCCTAAACGACTTAGTAAAATTCATCGTAAAAAAGAGCCAAACATGGCAGATTTAAGGCTTAAAAACGACTAAAATATCGGTATAACAGTGACAGACTTCTCAAAATTTTCAAAATTTTCGAAAAAGAAAATATTTATTTTTTCGAAAGTGCGGTTCCTCAAAAATAATTTTTAATGTATCAAATCTTATTGTTTTTATGTATACTTCCTTAATATAGGAATATATACTTTCTTAATATAGGAAAATGTTTGCCAATGCACTCATGTTGCCACAATTCGATTATTTAGACACGATCTATTGTAGAAAAATACAAGCATTTCTTGCTATGCGGAGATGTTAATATGCACCTAGATAGAATCTCTGCTCATGTGAGTGAGTGGAACACCATGTACTATCATCTTTTGGGCTTCATCAACTTGTCTACTCACCAACACATAAAAAAGGTCACATCCTTGATCCTGTTATTTCTAGGCACAAATAATTGATATGTAGGCTCAAATAATTGATATGTCGGATACTTCAACTTACATGAGTACCACTGTGCCCTGCTCGGATGCCTTCCGAAATAGCTTTTTTCATAGATCTATGCTGAAATGGAATAGTCTACCAGTATGTATCCGGCAGTCAGAGCGGATTTCTACTTTTAAGGCCAAACTGATCAAGTACCTCTGGGCTGCCGATACAGTCTGGCCAGATTAGCTCATGATCAGTCTTATGAGTCTCAGAAATTTGTTTTTGTTGGTTACAATTCTGTCCGTCCAATTTCCTATCTGCTTGTCCTTTTCTTTTTTCTTTATCAGTTGTAACGGAATTGTAATGAACAAAATCCTTATAATTATTTATGATATGTTTGATTTCTTGTTAATGTTTGTCATTCAAATTTGGTAGACGGCCCCAACGTTAATGTGGCTCTTGCTATGTGTTGGTTCAGCCGAATTAATTATTATATAATCAAGTTTATTTTTCTCGTTAGTTGTCATCCGGCCAAACATTAAGCAACTTATATTGCAGTACCATTTATCATTTAGTAATCAAAATATGTCATTGTAATTTTGCATGGCTGAAATGTAACGCTTGATTTATATATATAATGATTAATTGACTTTTCAAATAAAAAAAATGTCATAAATTTTACTTTACTTTACTTTACTTCTCTGACTCTGCCGAGAATGGAGGAATATTAAGTAGAGGGAACGTCTGTCGGTTACTAAGCGATGAGGAGATAAGGGAAACTCTTTCATATTATTAAGAGTTAGTTCCGTTTTAAATAAGATAGGCTGTGGCACTAAAAGTCTTGAGGTCGAAAAGTAAGTTGTCAAAAGAGGTGCGGTAGTTCAAAGTGTTGAATAAAGGTGTTTGACCTGATCTTCACAGGCTGCCCTCAAAAAGTGATAATGTCACCATCAGTTTAAAAGCTCTTTAGTCATATATTGGATCACACATCCCTCAATGGCATAGAAACCGTAGCTGAGGGGGGAGGGGTCTAGACTCAGAGGAATGAAAACTTGCAAGACTGCAGACAGACTTTTCATTTACTCAGAACCAGTTTAGAGGATATGTGACTCAAAGCCCTGGCCCTCCCTGTGTGAAGTGAGTGCTAAACTTCAGTGAGAGGTCACATTGGAAGGTACCGCTCATCATCTGTCGGTTGAGCTCTTCAGGATATGTTTGGCACCCCTCCTTCCCCCTGGAATTCTTTGTACCCCTAAATTTAAGTATCAAACGTTAATTGGCCGTGATCTGGTTCATATTGTTGTCTAATTGGATTATTTTTCGTATAGAATGCACCACCCTAGCCTCTTACGCTATCCCCCCTCAAGTGCCCTTTGTTACGCCACTATGCGAATTGTGCTCCGCCAATTACATCACATGAAGGACTATTTGCATTTTTCAATGTATCATTAAAGATATATCTTTTGTCAATCTATCTTTTCTGAATCAGTAAATTTCTCAAACAATATATATATAATAAATTAAATCAAGTGATGCAATTGGCAGAGCATGATTTAATCGTAAATCATGAGCAATAGATATCATCTATCCCTCGTAGCTCTTCTCCTTCTCCTCAGGTATCAGGCCGAAGGAGACATATATAGGGGCGTTCCATGCCTTCTTTGCCTTCCCACGTACACCTCTAACTGCTACTAGCTATATATCATTTTTAGAATGAACCATTTAAGATGTTTTACTTAAAAAGGGGACCCCAACCCATGTAGCTGAGACACTTCAGAGCAACTACGCCACTTCACAGCAGGGACAAAAGGAGATCGCGGCATGTACGGAATCGCGATTTTCCCCATTATTTGCGACAAATTTTATGTATAGTTTAATATACCGCGAAATGTAATTCGCGGTATCGCGATTTTTGGCCAAAATAATCGCGAAATCCTTTTGTCCCTGCTTCACAGCACCTACGTTTATAAAGTCTTCTTCAGCCAAAACGGTTGGGAGTAAATTTTTAATTGATGTATCATTGTCTAATGATTATTTTTTAGTTTAGTCTCAGTGAAGCTAATCAAGCGGAGAGAAAATGATGGCTACAGATGATTCAGTTAACCCCAGAGCTTACCCTCTTGCCGATGCTAACTTGACATCCCAGGTAAAATATTCATTTAATAACTAACATATTTGATCCTTTTTAGTGTATACTTATTGCCACTAGGCCTAAGGGCAGAAGGCCAATCCCAGTTAGAGTATAGTAAACTTAAATATAATTCATGATGTTGTGCGAGATCATGGACATGATTTCAATTTCTCGCATCAATAAGCACTGCAATCAATCAATTCAAAATTCTTTCGCTCAGATTTTGGATTTGGTACAGCAGTCCGTGAATTACAAACAGATCAAGAAAGGTGCCAACGAGTCAACAAAATGTCTCAACAGAGGTATCGCTGAGTTTGTCATCATGGCAGCTGATGCTAACCCAATTGAAATCCTGCTTCACATCCCCCTTCTTTGTGAGGACAAGAACATCCCTTATGTCTTTGTTCGCAGCAAGCAAGCACTTGGTGAGTAATAGTGATTAGGATTTATTTGACCGGCCTGGAGTTTTGGCTGCAGAGCCAGAAATGGCCGGATATCATATCTTTTCCGGTAAGCTGGATTTTGCTGGAATAGAACCAGGCGTTTAGAAGAGGACATTTTATGATGCCGGACCTTGCTGGAAAATTAATATTAACCGTTTTGAACCTCCATTGTTTTAAAATGCGTCACGAAAAGCCAATTATTTGTTTGATGTGAGAAGAAAATGGTCCCGCGCTAGCCTACTTGCAACCTGTTCTGATCATCTGCTATTAGACCCTGCCATTTGAACCTAAGGACTTGGCAGGCCCGGCATGCAACTTGATCACCCAACATCGGTCCCTACACCAAATTAACTTGTGCAGTGACACTGTATCCTGTTTATATGATCATTAAAACATGAAGATTTAAAATTTTTAAGTACTTTGTAGCGAAAATTACAAGTTTCTAACTTGTACATCCTAGCGAAAGTTAAGTGTTTCTAAATTCGTCGTACTTTTACCACTGAACTTGCCTTATAGGTATTGATTTCTGGGTCAACACGAAAACGATTCTTGCATAGTTTTAAACATGTATGAATCATACTATAATTTTGGCCGTGCGAACAGCTTACTGAAACACAGAACTAGAAAGAAGCTGAGCTCAGATCCCGTCGTTTTTTTAGTGATTTTCTTTAAAATATTTATAGCGACAGGATAAAATTTCGTGAAAATTGTTTATCAAATTTTCAATTGTTATATTTCCGCTTGATATCCAGTTGATATCCGGATATCCGGTCGGTTCTTAATAGTAATATAACCTATAATATATCTTCACTTCGGTAATGTTCACAAGTTAAAATAACCTCTGTTACTTCAAATTAGGCTGCTTTTCCCGGAGGGTCCCGGTAAACAGGTGAATTAGTATTGTTTCTTGTATGAATTCTGATCAACTAACAGTTTACTTCTCCAGGACGTGCATGCGGTGTGAGCAGAGCTGTTGTAGCTGCCACTGTTACCATCAATGAAGGAAGCCAGCTCAAACCCCAGATTCAAACCATCCATGGGGCAATCGAGAAGCTGCTCATTTAAGATCGGTTTTAATTTATCCAATCAGATTGTTTTTATAAACCTTTTCTGACTACCCGATGATTCTATCGGAGGAGGGATGCCGGATTTTTTACTGATGTATTCGTATTCCTAATTTATTTTAATTTATTTTAACAACATGACTTGTTTCATTGCATACATGAAATCATAAATGATAAATCCATTGAGTAAACATTTAAAGTGACCAATTGAACACATTCAAAGTCTTCGATTAGCCTTGATTGGTTGTAAGGGTCTTTCACATATTACGTTATCAGCCGAGGGGGGGGGGGGGGGGGGGGGGCCGGGGGGATTCTAAATGATTATGCTAGCGTAATATGTGAACGACCCCTAAGAATTACGAAACGGCCAAGTTTAGTCACTCGGTCAAAATCATCGTTTATGTCTGTATATTGTGATTTTGAAGATCGAAGAATGGAGAAGCCGATATTTTATGAGATGGCTCAAACTATTGAAATGTCCGTACTTGCAAATTGCTAGGTAAAATATCAACACAATACAAGTGTGAAAAAGTACTATAATTTGATAACTTTAAATTAAATTAATTTAACATTCTTCTTCTTTCTCAGGTACATACTTTAAATGATCAAGACCTGGGACACGTAAATAAGTTTTGAAAAGACATGAAGTTCATCCATTTTCTTGTTATCATCTTGTCAATCTCATGGGTGCATTCTGCGACTAAGTTTGTCTTGGTGGGCAGTCTGGGTGACCTGGCAAAGAAATATCTCTGGTCAGCTTTAGAGGAGAATGTTTGGAACTCGGATAAAGAGCTGGAAATATATGGAGCCAGTAGGAACCCTGTTCCAGAGGGACAGTTGAAATTAGCTGAGATATTGGATAAATTGCCAAAACGTTATTCGCCCCTGGACGGTCTGGAAGAAAAGTTAAATGCAGCTTTCAGCAAACTTCCTGATGGAAACAAGATTTTATCAGAGAGTAAAGAAACAGCCAATGTTATACTTCAAAAACTGAATGTATTTGGAGAAAATCTCAAAGAGAAAACAAATGGTTTGTTTAATAAGTTAACTCAGCCCCATAGTGAGATGAAAAATGATTTTTCTCTACTTTTCAATGCCATTTCTGATGTTGGGGAGAAAGTTTTCGATGGCGGACAAGATGCTCTTGGTAAATTTCTCCCTGAATTTAATAAGGTTGTTGATGATTTTGCTAAAAAATCGCCAAAGTCATCGGAGGAACTGATGTCAGCTATTAAGATTCTTCTCAAACACAGTCAGGGCCGGTTGTCTGAAAGTAAAGATGCTGCAATTGGTTTCCTTAATGGTATCTTAATGGCAGGTACGCCATTTCAAGACAGAGTCACCTATCTCCAACTTAAAACTGATGCTCACTTTGCAGATTTTTGTGGGGATGTAAAAAATGGGCTGGTAATATTCTACCTTTCCATTCCTCCTTCAGCTTATATTACTACATCTGAGATGATCTCAAAGCACTGTAGAAAAGATGGGGTCACACTTAGGGTTGCATATGAGAAACCGTTTGGTTACGGATTGGACTCAGCTGAACAACTCTTCTCCTCCCTTGATCGTCTAATCGGAAACGATAATATCTACCTAATTGATCATTATCTTGGAAAATCTATCACACAACAAATTCCTCTCCTGAGAAGATCAGATAAAGAGATTGAAGCGCTGCTAAACAATGATAATGTACAGAGTATTCATGTTCGTCTTCTTGAAGAGGTGGACTGCGAAGGACGCGCTGGGTACTATGACAAAAGTGGTGTTTTTCGTGATATGTTACAAAACCATGCTACTGAACTTCTAACTCTAATCACTGCAGATGTCAATAGACCTGACTTTGCTGCTGCAAAATCCGAGGTTTTGAAGTCGCTGACAAAGCCAAATAAGCACCAAGTTGTGGTGGCTCAGTATCATAGTTACCGAGAACATGTGGGCGGCAAGTCATTGACACCAACGTTTGCTTCAGTTTTGTTTTTGTCTGATTTAAGTCGTTGGGAAGGGGTCCCCCTAATTTTGACTTCTGGTAAATCGCAGAATTCTGATAAAAAAGATATTGAGGTCAATCTCAAATCAGGCGGTAGGCTTCACATCAACTTCAAGCCTCCTGAAATTAAACTGAATGGCAGAAGCCTGCTACCTGAGTCCTTTACCGCTGCAAGTAACAGCTACGTAACCCTTCTGAGCAACGTCCTGGATGGCAACAAGACTCTTCTCCCCGACATCAACACAGTCCTTGCTTCTTGGAATATCTGGGATCACGTGATCAACCTAAAACACAGTCTCCTACTCCATCCCAACCACAAAAACATGGCAGTGAGTAACTTTGGCAAGTTTCTAATAGCTGGATACACTGAAAACCCCATGGAAGAAGAGCATATCAAGTTTTTTAACAAAGCGTTCATGGTAAGCGACCACGAGGAGCACCTGTACGAGCATGTGGTCCATGATATTGTGCGGGTTATTGGGGAGACTTTAGAGGGCTCAGACAAAGTTCACATAGCTGTAAGTGGAGGTAGCACTATTCTGGGGGTTTACAAATATTTGGTAGCTTATTCCAGTAAGAAGAATCTGCCGTGGAAGAAGGTTCATATTTGGCAGGTGGATGAACGGTGTGAAGCTGCACATGCTAATGCTAGGGATTTAAAGGAGTTCTTGTTAGGTGACATTCCGGACATTTCTCCGTCTCAAGTGCATTTTATGCCAGTTTCTGAAGCTGGCTGTGGTGACATATCTGCATACCAGAAGGAGTTTTTATCTGCTAATCCCAAAGGAAAGTTTAACTATATAATTCTTGGCTTAGGAAGTGATGGTCACACAGCGTCTTTATTTCCCAGTTCTAAACCAATCTCAAAGACTGCAGATTTCAAACACGTTGAGGTTGATACGGGAATCTCGCCTGGGAGAATGACAGTCACATTTGATCTGATCAATAGATCTGATTGGGTGTCGATATTGGTAACAGGATCTGATAAAAGAGATATTATCAAAGATATCAAACAGGGAAAGAAGTTCCCAGTTTCTGAGGTTGTTAATGCTCAGTTGACGTGGTTCATTGACGAAATTCTGCTTTAAAATGTTAAAACCGATCTTTTGTTATTGTTCCGTTACCGCTGTATTGAGTTTTTACATGTTTTTTTACATGTTTTTCATTTTGTTTTTGACTAACTCAGACCCATTTAGATGAATTATGTTTTGTTGATTGTATTTTGTTTCAGTTTAGTTTTAGCTTGATTTTTTTCCTTTTGAAGTTGTGATGATATATTGTAAATAATTGTTATATATATATATATATATACTTGAATGAAATATATCAATTGACATATTAATTTCCACAAAATAATTAAGTTACGGAGTCTTATTGTTTTTTTCATATTAAATAATCTTCTTATAAAAATCCATCAAAAACTTACGTTAAAAAATACCACAAAATTCTCTAGTACGATCAACCGCGTAAACTACAAATTATTGTGTTATTTACTTTTCTTGCACTTTCATCACATAAAATATACACATACAACATGTATTTACACATACTTACACATATTTACACTATTTATAGTGGTGTTGTGATGTATGACTATGGGTGAGAGCAGTAACGCTAAGCTGCCCCTGGATCGTGTGTCTCTGTGCGGTGTTACTAGCTTGTGCGATGTGCTCCCTCAACTCTCATTCCCCTCCCCTATACCCAGCACCCAGGAGAAGAGCCTTCTCTTCAGGTATGTGTCATTTACTGAGTTATTTCACCTTGTTTTTACCGAGTTATTTCACCTTGTTTTTACTAAGAATGTTTTCTATCTTTATCAAAATGATTCTGCCCTGTAGCAGCAAAATGTTACTTTGTATTTCACGTCAAGATCTTAGTTTTACTTTACGCCCTACTTCATTTAGATGTTTTACGCATTTCTAAACTTTCATGTTATACGGCTCTTTCAACTTCTTTACTCACCCTAATTGTCCATTTGATATCACACTTAAAACTACTTATCCCAACTTTTCAGCTCGACGGTTTCAGAGAAATCCCAGCATCTGACCAGCAAATTCTCCGATCTTCTTCTTAATCACGTGACAGAAGCTATTGACAGTGTCAGCACTCAACACATGTTAGATTTATTATAATCCGTATTTTTAGAAAAGTGTTTTTTATTTCAATAATTTTATTATTTTTCTAAAAGTATTTTAGTTCTGGCAGTGGGAAACAGTTTACGGTAGTGTTGCACGGTTTTGATTAAAGAAAGACAAAAGGCGCCTTCATTCTAGATAAATTCTGCTTTTTATCTTCGTTAATAAATGTACCGCGGCCGTCACGTCATGTTAGTTGCAAATATTCCAAAATAAAATACCCTGCGAAACATTAGATGCACATACGCTATGCTTTGTTATTTACCATATTTAGAATTTGAGGGACACTTATTTTCACAATTCACTGCCAAATCTACAAAATTATAATTAATTTGCTCTATGAAATTATCTTAGTTTTATCTGAAGACTCAAATTATCCCTACTTTGTCTTCAGAGAACTCAAAAATGAAAGAGAAAAAATGGACTACTCGGAGTCCTACTCTAGCATTGTCCAATCTATCTTGAAGAGAACACCTCAAGTCTTCAATAACATAGCCGGTGAGTGATGTACTACTAATGTGCTGACATTTCTGACATCTTGTACCGTGAGGGTATATCTCTTTGTTTATCTTCGTTCTCGCACCATGGCTCCTATTTTTCTACTTAAATCATATCCACGATTTCAGGTGTTGCCAGAAACAAGAAAAAGGTAGATTCATCATCCAATGGAGATAAAGCACAGGTTTTTTCATTGTTATTAAGTTCACAGGGTGCGAATTCGCGCTAAAACTTTCATAAAATGGGGCACAAAAGCCTATACATCTTTAGTACTAGCAAAATTATTACTTTCCTGCGTGGAAAGTTTGACTTTTCACTATTTTCGCGTTGAAAAACTCTCGCGCGTAGTGCGCGTTTTCCCACGCCTGTACGGCATGTACCCTGTATCTTTTTCCTTTATCTCCGCTAGCTGAAATAATTTAACAAGTGATTCCACAGGAGCAGACCACTCCCTCAAAAACCTCCTTCATGATGGAAGACCTGCTCGATAAAAAGAAAAGTTCGAGGAGGCCTGAGGAGAACACTACTCCCAAAAAGTCTAGAAAGCAGCTTGAAACTGAAGAGCTTGATTTTCTCCTCGCCCAATCTCTGTCAGGAGGTGGTATCGGCGAATCTGTGCGTGGCAGGAGGAATCGTGGAGCCAGAGGATCCGATGACCAGTTTTCACCCGAGAAACAAACCACTGATCCAAAGATCAAACCTCGAAATATGAAACGAAGTACTGCTCAACCTGCCAAGTTCAACCTCAAGAAACACCAAAAGAAGAAGACGTTTGCTCTAGAAAGTTCCGACGAGGACGATACCCCAGCTTTGGATATCAACCCGGAGGATTTGAGACCTGAAAATATTGCTGAACCTGCTCCGGAGCCTGAAGATTTAGGTTTTATTACAATACCTTTTTTAGGGCATAAGAAAATTGTAGGCGAGAGACATATGACTGGAAGGAAATTAAAAGCTTTCTGGATGTAGGCATTTCGAAAAATTATACAATGTTACCTTGTCAAAATGAGATAACAGTTAATCTTTAATGCGATTGATTTCCACAGTTGCCGCTGATGATGAGACCGCTGATCAAGATGAGGATGGAGATGAAGATAAAATAACCTCGCACGTATTTGAAGATAAGGAACTACTTATAGAGAAGGACGAAACAAAAGAAGACGGAAAAGAAGACGGAAATGAAGACGAGGGCGTGGAACTGGAAGAGGATATGGACGTACAGCAAGAAGACGTTGAACAAGACGAAGATATCGGTACGGACCATTACATGATTACAATGCACTGATATTTTGAAATGGTCGTCGGCTTGTAATTCCTTTTGTCAGTTATCACCTTAATTGTTAATGATCCAAACTTGAAAAATCTCAAGTAATTAGTTATTAAACTAAACGCTCTCAATGACAGTATCGTTTCAGACGAAGATTTATATTCGAATGAAGAGGATGAGGATGATGAGTACGTACCCAAAACGAATCGTCCGAAAAAGATCAATCTTCTAAAGAAAGAAAATGGAAAGACAAAGTCTCTTCGTGACATCAAAGGTATTTGCTGTTATTTTTTAATCACATTATTGAATTAAATATCAAATTATTCTCTCGAGAAAATATAGCTACTCTCGTCCAAAGCTAGCAATATATCATTTTAGTGGAAAGAAGTGAGAAGCTGAAGAAGGAAGCTAAGCAAGCAAAACAGCAGCTTATCAACGAGGACGATATGTCTGATCCCTTGCAGTCTGCCAGCTTCAAGAGATTCTCTAAACTTCTCGACATCATATTCGAACACGAGGATGAGATGGTTCCTGAAAATTTCAAACTTAGTAAGTTTTCAGAAGAAATGGAAATTAGACTCTCTTTCAAGCAGCAACAGAAAGTCCTGTGAAATTTCGGGGTGCAAATTCAAACTTAGTAAGTTTTAGAAGAAATGAAAATTAGACACTTTAAAAGTGTTCTGAAACTTCGTGGTACAGTAAAACCCCGATTTACCACGGAGTTTGGGGATAGGAAACAGCTGCGGCTAATCGGGGTGTGAAACCCTATTTGGGGAAAGAAAATGGCCGCGGTATATCGGGGTTTGCGGTAAATCGGGGTATAACAGTACATGATGACGATGTTGAATTTTATACGTAAATATCACCCTTATCTTCTCGCTAATCATCCTCCCATAAGGTGCCGTAGAAGATGATGACTTTGAGCCAGCCCCCGAAACCTTACTCTCCCTCCGAAAGTTGGAGCTGCTGAGCGCGGAGGCAGCTAAGTTGAAGCAGATGAAAGTGCTGAACTGTATTCCTCAAGATAGACTCGTGAGACTTCTGAACATTCTGGACAGACACATCAGAGACAGCGTCAGACTTCCTCTTAATCCTGAACCGGTTAGTTTACGAAGGACTCATTTATAGAGACATCCTCCTGACAATTATAGAGACATCGTCCTGAAACTTGACTAACCATTTCGTTTCTAAAAGTCTACGATAATACTTTTAACCTTTTTTTGCGTGAGTTACCAAGTCACCAAAGCTTTGAATTTCCTGTGAAGGGATGAACACCTTGCTTAAAAGTCCTAAAGTCCGGCAGGCAGATCGATCCAAATTATCTATACTCACTGAAACGAACCCTAGATCTAGTATTTACTATCAGTACTCACTGCTCAGTACCTTCCTATTAATCTTATTGATAGTTATCTCAATATCTCATCCTCCGTAAAATCAGTCTAGTCTCAGAGTCTCTGAACATTTAAAAATATAATCGATGTGATAATTCCCAGCAGCCCTCATGCACTGAAGTTATCGCAGTGCAGTGTTAGATATCATAATGATGCACATATTTTTCAATGCATATTGCATAGAACAGCTTAAAAGATTAAACAGCTCTATTAACAAGATCAAATGAGATTTGGGCTGCATTGATCACGCACATAATGCATTTAACAATAAAGATATGGGAGCTCTTCCCGCACAAGTCTGCCTATGCCCTATGATACGAGGCCAAAGTAGATGACTACCATATTATAGTAGTCCAACTCTCGTCCATTTAGTTTTCTTCCTTCCATTAAAAATTTAAACACCAACTAAATTAGTTCCCTAGGGGGCCGGGGGGGGGGGGTACCAATGGCATAAATGGCATAATGGAGAATTGGCCAAGCAAAATTTCCATTTATGCCATGAAATTTCTATGCCATTTGACGATTTTTATGCCATTTGTCTCCATTTTATGCCATTCGAAATATGAAATTTTAAAACTTTGAACTGAGAATTTAATAACGAATAGTCTGCACCCCACTAGTACTGTCCACCTTTATCTCTATTTATTGTACTGACCCTGGCCCTGGTCATTAGAAACACCCCTAAAAGTTCGTTTTTTGACAAAAAATTTAAAACTTCTGTAATTTCATTTCTGTTTTAGTTACGCATTTGATTTTTGGTATGCGCATAGAAAATCGATACGGCTTTAAAATGAGATGTTCGGCGACCTCCTAGCTCACTCACTAGACTCAGTAGGAGTGATTTAACTGCGAGGGACAATTGACTAATTGAGGCTAACAAATTAGCCTCACCACTTTCAAAAAAGAACTTTCTCATGTTACGTCCATGATATCCAAGTTGCAAGTATAATCCATAGTGATTATACTTTATCGAGATCTAAGCTTTAAATATTCGAGGTGAAAATGAGGCTAACCACCTTTTGAGAGGGTGAAATGAGGCTAACTAGTATACTTTTGTGTATATTTTCGAGTTGGTTCGGTATTGTGACTATCTAATATGTCAACAATAAAGATCGATTCATCCTCTTCAAACTCAACATTTCAGAAATCGCCGAGTCTACTTGTAGGAGGCCAAAATGAGGCTAATAAATAATTCAACCGCATTTTAACTTTAATGTACGGAAACAGGTTAACAGCTCACACGTTACTTGATATCCATGTTGCACATGAAATTCCTTGGGATTATATTTAATCGGTATTTAAGCTTCAAATATTCGAGGTGAAAATTAGGCTAACCACCTTTTGAGAGGGTGAAATGAGGCTAACAAGTATACTTTTGTGTATATTTTCGAGTTGGTTCGGTATTGTGACTATCTAATACGTCAACAATAAAGATTGATTCATCCTCTTCAAACTCAACATTTCAGAAATCGCCGAGTCTACTTGTAGGAGGCCAAAATGAGGCTAATAAAAAATTCGACCGCATTTTAACTTTAATGTACGGAAACAGGTTAACAACTCGCAAGTTACTTGATATCTATGTTGCACATGAAATTCCGTCGGATTATAGCTTCAAATTTTCGAGGTGAAAATGAGGCTAACCACCTTGTGAGAGGGTGAAATGAGGCTAACAAGTATACTTTTGTATATATTTTCGAGCATGTTCGGTATTGTGACTATCTTATGTCATGTGTCAACAATAAAAATTTATTCATCCTCTTCAAGCTCAACATTTCAGAAATCGCAGAGTCTTCTTGTAGGAGGCCAAAATGAGGCTAATAAATGATTCGACCGCATTTTAAGTTTTAACTTTAATGTACGGAAACATGTTATAGACCCACTATAAAACTTGTAATTGTAGCCCGAAGGTTATTGAGACTTTATCGAAACTTATGTGAGGTTGGATTGAGGCTACCTTCCCTCCTTGAGGCAAAATTGAGGCTAACAGATACACTACGCAGACAATTGTCACTGTGCCAGCTGTCAAGTAGTTGCTGAGCAGCAGCAGCAGTTAGATGAAGAAAATGAAGTTGAGGAAGGAAATGTATTAGAGCTGTTGGCTAGAGTAGGCCCCTTACTTCTATGGAGCTCTCTGGCCAATTGCTCTGGCAATGCTCTCCATGGGGCCATGTAATATCACATGATCTGATATCATGCCAAATTAGACTCTAAACTATAAAGTATAATAAAGATGGAACTGTTTGAGAAAAAACATTTTTCGTTACTTTGAAAGAGAAGTAGAAATCAGACGTACCTTGATCTTATATGTACTTGTGACGGTCTTGTTTTGTATTTAACTCTGCTGAAGAAGCAATTCCCTAATGCTGAAATCGTCACTTATTACCTTGGAAGTGATCAGAATGAGCAGCTGTTTGCATTTATTCGGGTTTCTTTTTCATCTGGTCGCTCAAGATATATGGATGCGATAACTATGGCCCATGGAATGGAGAGAAAGAATGTGTACAGTGCTTTATCATTACATGAAGACACATCTGCAATTGCACATGCACGTGGAAATACAGTTTTGCATCCTACAGTTCACCTCAAAAAGGTTAAATCTACAGGCCAGAAAGCAGAACGAGTGAAATGGACTGGTGGTATGATAAGCCTAGGCAAGTTGGCAAAAACGCTGGACAGGGCATCGAGGGACTGCATTCGAGAAGGGAAAAGAAACAATTTCCCTGTGTTCGCCGCAGTCGCAGATCCTGAAGAACGGAGTGGGAAGCCAATCGTCCATGGCCAAGAACTTTCTTGGGAAGCTGTAGATGATGAAGCTGGATGCCTCGAGGACGAGGACGACTTAGCTTATGAGGTAGAACCTGGAGTTGATGATTGTGATGATGGAGAAACGATATCAACAGATAAATATGGAACACTATCCTTCCGGTCTTTTGAGACACTCACGCTCAATGGAGGAAGAAGCACTTTATCAACAAAATCTCGTCTTTCAAGATTTAAGGGGGACGCGTTTGGAGTGTCTTCTGATGTTCGCATATACAATCAACCTGAATGCGGATGTTCAACAGTTTTGAAAGCTGGCAGTACAGAAACTCTTAAAGTCTTCAAATCTCAGCAGAACTTTGCAACAGGAGTGGTTAGATTTATTTCTTATAAGTCATGCCCGATGAAGTACTACTGCCAGGAACATAGCCTAATCAATGGATCTCCTAATGTATGGCTACTCGTCGAAGACAAATACATCAGATGCATTGTTCCTTGATGACATTCAAAATCGTTGTGTTGTCAATGTTTGTATTCTTGAATAGTGAAATGTTTGGTATATATTTGATATAATACATTTCTATTTTCTTTATTTAGTTATTTGTCATATGAATCTTTGACTTTAACGATCATTCCAAGCGTTATAAAGCATGAAACATGTCTCTTATTCAAGTACTAATAGTATTTGCGAATCTAAAGTCATCCTAAAGGTCAAATATGAAGACCTAAATTAATGGCATAAATTGGCATAAATGGAGAATTGGCCAAGCTAAATTTCCATTTATGCCATGAAATTTCTATGCCATTTGACGATTTTTATGCCATTTGTCTCCATTTTATGCCATTGGTACCCCCCCTTCCCTAGCCATAGCCCTACTATGCAGTTAAAATTGTTCGCATTGTTCGATCCTATTTATGTTATGTGATGAGTAAATTGTATTTCTAATGGTCGCTGCTTTGCAAACATTCTGTTTATTAGTCACATAGTTGTAATTAATTGACTGGACTCAGAGTAATTTTAAGTGAGGATAGTTAAAGAACGCAAATAATTGTTTGAATGTAAAGTCCTTGATAAATTTAATTGTTGCGCCCCGCGCCGGACGTCTGCTCTCTGTACTATCCGAGGCCTTACAACTTTACAATAAGTCAAGACTTAAAATAACAATATGGCTCTTTTATGATTTTCACTTCTATTAATGGTTTGTAACAAATAATAATGCAAAATTGCGCTGCAAAGACAAATTAACAATGCTAAATTATCGATAATATGGGCAACATTTATTGTTTCAAACAATAAATATAGTCATAAACACTGCAAAACTGTAATCATCTAAAGAAATACCCCGTAGGCCAAAATTAAAACCTCAAATTGACAGAGTCTTGACAATAGCATCACCAAAACAGATAAAACGTTAGTCTATCAGCTTAGCTTTTAATCGATATTAGTCTAGTCCAGAATACCTTTATCAGACCAAACCAAGCTGGAAGTTCTGAGGGCTTGCAGGGTTGTAGGTTTACTAGTACACAAAGGATGTAGTGTAGAAGTGGGGTTGAGTATAAGTGGGTTGCGTTCCTGTGGTTCCGGTACCAGTGTAGATGCTCTCCATGAACATCTCACACTCTGGGTTCCAGTTCAGATGCCAGTTCTTCAGTTTCTCCTCGACTGTTGGATCCTGTAGATTTACCCGGTTGATGAAGCCAATGATGCGGCCCAGCGAATCAACGGCAAAGAGATCTCCAGGAGCAGCGAAGTATTTGGTTGTAACCTTGTTATCCTCGTCTTGAAGGAGTCTGACGTCACTGTTCCGGGTCTGCATGTACAGGTCAACTGTAGCGAACCGGGTCTTACTTTGAGGAACGGAGTCTGCCACCACCACGTAGCTTGGGGAGTTCCATCTCTCGGACAGATCAATGAGGTCCCGGAGTAGTCCATTAACTGTGAACTCGTCCATATCAGCTCGGATGAAAACCAGAACAGTGAGAGCCCTGCCTTGTCGGAGGTTCCTAAAACTAACCCCGTTCAGTTCCCACTCTTCAGGGATCCGGCAGTAGAGCCACTCGTGCTGGAGCTCATCACATACGCTCTTTCTCTCCTTGGTTGCTACCATCACCTCCTGGATTACGTTCCTCCAAAGTAGGTTAGTGTCGGCGTCCTGCTTCCTAGATCTGATCAGAATGGCATCTCTCAGGAACCTTATCATCCTTCCCCATTGGTCGACCAGGTACATATCGTTTCTCTTGGACCTGAACTGTCTTGTCTCGTTGAAGAATTCCCCGGTATTCTCGATCTGGTAGTCTCCCAGTGTATCCCAAAAGTTGCTCAAGTCATTATCCTGGTGTAAAGAGACCCAGGGACCAACGCTGAATCGCTTAGCTAGTCTGTTCTTCATCATGTTGAACTTCTTTTTGGAGGGTTCGAAGTTCCTGTTGATGGCAAACACTCCCATGTCGACGGCTTCATCTTGTCTTCGAGGATTGTTCGAGTACTCCTCCCATCTTTTGGAGAGCTGGCCAGCAATGGCAGCATTGGACTGGCAGGTACCGCACTGTGCCTCAGCTAAGTAGATAAGATGAGGTTTGCCCTCAATGTTGGAGTAGTATTCCCAGCTTCTGAGCGTCTTCTCGTTCGTAATCTTGAGTTCAGGCAGTCTACCACACAGGTTGGGGTGATCTTGCCAGAAATAAGGTCTGAAACAAGTTCATTTTGTAATTATTGTCTTTTTCAAATGTTGTTTATACGAAAAAATATAATTTTCATGAACAATGAACATAGTGTATCGATCTATACTACTGCCTCTAATCGATTTTAAAAGTTCTCGCTCTTTTCTTAGCAGGCTGCCAATTTGTTAATTTAGTCTGGAGCTTACCTGTAGTATTCGCCGATCATGGAAGGGGTTGGGGTAACGAAGGAGGTAGTTGTAGGTGCTACTGTTTCATCAGCAAGTGCTGCGGCAACCAGCACTGCTAGTACTGCTGTCAACAACATCCTGGCAAACGGATCACGGGGTTATTGTTGGTAAATAGTTGTACAGCTGAGGAGAGTTGCTTCTTGGATTTGCAAATAGTAGAGGCTGCTTATTAAACAATATGAAATATCGGGTTAATTGCAACATAAAATGCAGCGATGGACAGTGTTTACGCAAAAATTCGCCGCTAAAGCAAACAATACGCAAGTATTAGGGAAGCTGATGATTATAAGTAGTTTTAAATAGCAATTTCCTAATAAACAAATCAGAAAATGTAACACTTCATCTTGACATGTTGCCACAAAAGTGTTGACCAAAAAATGAAATACTTATGCAAACTATGCAGTATATTTGCAATTTAAACTCTGCAAAATTAAATTCTGAGCTGCAAGCTTTTGTTTCAAATTTAATAAAGGTTTATCGTCAATTTTAAAAGCGTGGACATGCATACGTGGCATTATCTGACTAACGGTAACACTAGTGTCAGGTGACTTGACAGAAGAGGCTTCTTTGAGGTAACCCAACCAAGCTTGTCTGAGTAAATAACACCATTTTCCCCCGCGATTAGATAAGGGACCACAATAATTGTATATTTCCTGACTGAATAATATTTCATATAGGTTCGGTTTCCGTCCAGGTCTGGAGGCACCACATCGCGTTGCAAACAATTTTGTTACGTGTTTTCGGGAAAGTTCCATTGATAAGCCTCCACTATCTTGACAGGAAGTTAAATTTGCGTGCAAGGAGAGAATAGTGTGCACCAGCGCTGGAAACTTTCCGCCTGACTTCCCATCACGCACTTAATCTAATGAATTCAACCGGGAAACTTGTTGTCGGTAACCTACCACCGTATCTCGAAATAGTGTCCGCCGACTACAATGATGTTAGATCAGATTATCGGGTGATCTAAACTGCAAAGTGTAAACACCGACCTTATTATATTGTACAGTAATAAAAATGATGTAATTTAACTAATCTGTGTTCTCAGGAAACTCTAGAGGAGGAATTGTATACTTATCAGAAGAAAGCCCTGTGCAGAATGCAAGTTTCTGCTGAAGCGGCTATCGCTTCTTTTCAAATCCTGACTTCTCCTGATATGCCCAAAGCAGGTACGCTTATAGCCCTTCTTTCCATGACCCGTCGAATCTGTAACTCATCCACAAAAATCTTCCCTTGTAAGAATATAATAACCCCGTGAATAGTAATACTGTATCGCCTATTTTGTTCCGGTGACGTACCTACCGTTCATCCGGCCGGAGATTTAAGCTTCCGGTCATGATATGACTTATTTTTTATATCTCTATTTAGAACTCCTAAATTAGATTTGTATCATGTGACAAATGAGCGACTGATAACCAAACCCCGTTAGTGTACCTGGAGGATGTTATTGAGAGGACTGTTTTGTTTATCAAGTTTCATCTCATTGACGGTGTGTACCCTGCCTACGATCCTGTCTACGCTGATCCGAAGGGAAAAGGTAATGTTTCCATGGAGATTTGAGTTCCTAAACATCCGAGATAATTAACAGATAATCACTCGAGACGAAAATGAAAAAGATACATTTTGTTAAATTACCGTTGAACTCTTGAGGTCGAATGTTATAACAATTATAAGTTTCGAGCCCAAAACCGATTCACAAAGAATGAACATTGAGTTTGTTAAAGTAAACCCTGAACATAGCAAACAGTTCGAACATTCCCCACATTCCCAGATGACGGACAGTCAGTGAAAAGTAAACGTAAGAAGAGTATTATGCCGACTAACAAACTTCTCGTATCGGTCTATAACCGGATAGTGGAACTAATGGAGCTGTTCCCGCCCTTACTTTCTCTGCAGACTCTCCCTGATACCCTGGTCCTTCAGGTAATTCAACTGTCCTCGGCAATTTTTTGGGATTTTATACATCTTCGGCAATTGCAAATACCCAGTTTAAGTAAGCATACAACTTTTGATCCCACTTTTGAAGCCATTTTACTTATATGGTTGAAGGTACATAAAGTTGATTTGATTAACCAGTATAAGTACCACACCCACTCAAGTAAACACAACTGTTCAGATATCGACCCTGTCCGTATCTCCGTTCTTTGTAGAGAATGTAGGTACCCTGCAACTCGCTGCTTTGTCTGTCTGTAGAGGAATCTTTTGTCTGTACGAGAAACACAGACAGATTATTCTAGACGATATTTTCTCTTCTCTCGCAAGGTTACCCTCGTCTAAACGTAACTTCCGAAGGTAAGAACTGTTCAATACATACTTCATCTAATTGCATTCGTCCATCTAGTATCTAGAGATGGGGGGGGGGGGGGGGGGGCAATGACTACTTTTGGGGACTTGGGGGAATTACGTCAACGATTTTACCCAGAGTCCCCATTATTTTTAGTCCCCATTAGTCCCCAAAAGTCTCCATTAGTCCCCATTTAGATGATTTTTAGTCCCCAAAAGTCTCCATTAGTCCCCATTTAGATTTATCCTACTCTTATCTTGGACAAAACATCTCGATCGTATCGTTATTAAACTAACTTGAAAACCATAAATAACTGTCAAAAATTCTGGGGACTTATGGGGACAAATGGTGAATTACGTCAACGAGTTGACCTCTAGTCCCCATGATTTTTAGTCCCCATTAGTCCCCAAAAGTCTCCATTGGTAGTCATTGGCCCCCCCCCATCTAGAGTCAGAGACTCTAGATACTAGATAGATCATAGATTAAAACTGTATTTTACTATGCCATTTCCTAAGAAAATCGCGTTCATTTTACTTCAATCTTGGCCCTGTTAATGTTATTCAATATAGGTATCTAGTAATCATTCACTTGTCCTTTTTTCACAGTTACACCCTGTCCAACGGAGATAGTATACAGATGGTAACAGCACTAGTCCTACAGCTCATACAGTGTATCATCAAAGTGCCAGAAGTGGAGGAAAAGAAGGAAAAGTCGAAAGAGAGAGGGGTCGCAGAAGATAGGGACCAGGTAAGAAGCAGATAAACTGGCAGTTTATTGTTAGCGCACGAAAATTAAAACTAGAAACAATTTCTAGTTTCCATTCAGCTCAAATCGGTCGCCAAGATACCTTTTTTGGCAGTCAAATACTTTTGAGCCAGGATTTTAAGGACACGCTCGAGCGTGCTCCAGCCTGTTTCACTCAGAATGCTTCCTATTTATTGAGTGACTAATTTTCCAGGACGAAGAATCCCCTAGACGAAGTAAGAAGAAAAAAGGGAAGAAAGGAAGAAGGAAAAGGAGCTCGGAAGACGAGCACCCCGCTACACCGCCTCCCGTGCCTGAAGAAAAGCCGGAAGTTCAGGGGGTGGTTCTAGCGAACGGTGAAGTGAGTGGAGCTCCCAAAGAGTACTACGCTCCGGACGCAGATGTGTTGATCGTGTCCTCTTACGAGCAAGCCCTGCTCACTGCTCATCACTTCTTGTCCGCTTTTCTCCGGAAATGTTCCGGTAAGTGTTTGGATGATGTTTCGTCTTCGAGTTGATGACGAATGCTGTGGTATTTTCAGTTGTTGTGGGGTTTTTTAAGAGTTTTTCTCTCCCTGATAAATTTGAAGTGTAAAGAACTTAACACTTTTTTTCCTTATTTACACAAATCAATTGCAGCCAAAGAACAGGAAGATTATCGGCCCTTATTCGAGAACTTTATTGAGGACCTGCTGACGTGTTTAAACTTACCAGAATGGCCGAGCGCTGAGAACGTTCTCAACCTCCTTGGACGACTCTTGGTTTGTGAGAAAAACTCTATTTATGAGATTTATTATACTATATTATATTAAATTATCAGTTTCATTTCCGGTAATGTGGAAAGATTGGATTTAAAGAGAGTTTTATCAAGCCCGCCTTTTAATGATATTTACCGACAGGTGGCTACATTTTCCAGCAAACATTCTGACTTTGCCATGAGAACTGTAACGATTGAGTACCTTGGTAACATAGCCGCCCATCTCAGGCGGGACGCCGTTAAGAGCCGTTCTGACTCCGCCAAACTACAGCAGGTGTTTAAAAAATCTAAAATCATATTGATTGTCATATTATTTTGTATTAAAGTTGATAAGTAATGTGTTATCTTTGTTTAAACTTTTAACTGTATTCGTTTTCTTTTCAGATTATGATTGAAAAATGGGCCCACGAACACAGCGAACTCGAAGAAGCATGTCCACTTTTCAAAAAGATAAAACCTTCATCTGAGGTTTGTGCACTGCTGTCCCTCCTTGAAACATTAATTTACAAATTCGATTTTCCCATTTTCTGATAAATTATGTGCTTGCCGCTTGTCAGTTTTTGACGTCACTCAAATTTGTTCCACGCTTTTTGTTCCAGTTGGCGCCAATCGTCTTATCTAATACACAAATCTAATACACAAATTTATTAAGCAATAAGGTCATTGGTTTTATAGGCGGGTCGCTATCATAATTAAATTAATCGGTATTAATTCTTATTTAATCTAACGGAAACATTTCTTTTCGACAAAAAATTTGAGCCCTAAAAACGTTATTATTAATTTCATGATCTGACATTGTATGTAGAAAGGAAATAAAACTCAAAAAATCGGCATAGATTTTGGCCAAACTTTAAGCTTGATTATCGTTTTAAGCAATATTTTCTTACAAATAACTAAATTTTGAACAGATATTTATAACAACAACTTTAGGTCGATCTTGAAGAGGACGATAATATCAGGAACAACGTGCTACAAGAACACATCAAAGATCTCCAACTCATTTTGCTCGCATTTCTTGTGGAGCACAGTGAAGTGAATCCCGAGTTAGTGGTGAGTCATTTTGATCGTTCGCGTTGCAGTTTCTACAGTACAATTTTATCCCATCCAACAAATCATACCATGTGAATGTCGCCTTTTGTGCGCTAATTCGTTTTCCTTTGATAAAAAATGGTTTTAAAAAAATAAAAAATTGAATTTCCCAAAATAATCCCGATGATATTGTACAGTACAATCCTATTCCCTAGCACGCCAGACGTTTCTACCTAGGTCAGTGGATTAGGGATGCCCAGATCACGTGCGAACAGCTTGTTAAGAACCCTCCTAAACCGCCAGCCACAAAGGAGGACAAGGCAGAAGAGAAATCAGAGGAGGAAATCAAGGCTGATCACGAGGAAAAGGTTGGTTCTTCTCTGTTCTTTGATAAACTTTGTTTTGAATGTAGAGACTCAGTTCTTTGATAAACTTTGTTTTGAATGTAGAGACTCTGTTCTTTGATAAACTTTGTTTTGAATGTAGAGACTCTGTTCTTTGATAAACTTTGTTTTGAATGTAGAGACTCTGTTCTTTGATAAACTTTGTTTTGAATGTAGAGACTCTTTTGCTGGACTCCCTTTTCCGATGTGTATTTAACACTATGTGTTTCAGATTAGGAACCAAATGTCTGATTTAGAAACTACGAAAGAGAGTTTAAAGATTCTCCTTCAGAAAGACATTATCAAACCATCAACTTTGAAGTACGCATCTAATCAACCAACTCCATATTTCACAATATTTTTGGTCATAAAATGTAAATCGAATTATCATGATACAATTTTTGCACCAACCAAATTGGGGTTTAAATGTCATTATTAACGTTTAGTCACCCCTGTCAGATCTCAGCGTTGGTCAGTAAGTGGATCTAACGCAGAGAGAATCGCTAAGTTCCTAGCTTCCTCCCGTTCACTTAGCATTAACTTTGACATCTACCTCAACAAAATACTAATGGAGCTCCAGGAAAGCGCGATTGGTCTCCGTACCAAGGCTATGAAAGCTCTAGCAGCTATCATATCTGCTGATCCTAACCTTTTACATCGGGTGAGTTGCTCTGATAGTCAATATATTTGAGGTATTTGTGGTATTTGAGATATTTAGGTTTCAGTCTCAAGATGGTTGAACAGCACTATTCTTGAAACCCACAATGTAATATATTTCAACTCACATGTCATGTTTGCAGAACGAACTGCGTCTAGGCGTCCACGGCCGGTTCATGGACCAGGCTGCCTCGGTGCGTGAAGCTGCGGTAGATCTGGTGGGACGCTTCGTTCTGGACAAACCTCAGCTTACTCTCCAATATTATCCCATGTTGAGCGAGAGAATCCTGGATAAGGGTATTGGTGTTCGGTATGTACCATTTCCAGTTTCACGACAAAATTATTTAAAACTTTCAGGGTTATTACTAAGGTTGTGTTAAATGTCTTTCAAATAACTTGACCCGTGTACTATATAACTAATTACGTTATCATCTAGCTTGATTGAAAATAAATTCCTCTAATTACTATTAATTAATTACGTTATGAACCCAACTGTTACCAGGAAGAGGGTGATCAAGATACTCCGCGATATCTGCGTACAACAGCCCAGCTTCCCTAAGTTAACTGAGATATGTATCAAACTCATCAGACGGATAAACGACGAGGACGGTAAGTTACATGTTTAAGTTATCAGTCAGTTGACGGTCGATAAATCTGTAATGTCTATAAAAATATCAATAGAACCAAAACGATTCCTTCCAAACCAAACTGTAGGCCTTCATAATTTCAGATGTATCACTCGCACTCTTACACTAGTACTGCACTGTTAAAACAAATTTGCAGTTCCTCTTAAATAATGTGCCTGCTGTTATATTGAAATAACGTGAATTAACGCGAATGCCTGCTGTTATATTGAAATAACGTGAATTAACCCCCCATGCAGGTATCAGAGAGCTGATAGCTAAAGTGTTCCTCGACCTCTGGTTTACGGAGGGGAAGGATGAAACACCGGACGGGTTGATAAAACGTGTTGTCTCCATCACAGAAGCTGTGGCTGAGTCACCTGATCAGAACTGTGATTGGTTTAAACTGCTGCTCAATCAGTACCTGAAGCCTGGTGACGAGGTGAGAATTTCTGGGGGTTGTACATTTTTATCGAGTATTATACTGTAATGATCTCATCCAGATCTTCAGCAAGACGGGGTATTCTGTAAATTATCAACTTTCATGTTTTGCAATGTATTGGTCCAACGATTGTAAATTATCAACTTTCATGTTTTGCAATGTATTGCTCCAACGATTCGGTATTCTCACTTTATTCTCGACCTAGAATACAACTGAAAAAGACGAAGATCAGCGAGTCCGAATCAAAACTCAAAGCAAGAAAATGGTGGACAGTCTCGTGGACAGCGTACTAAAGTTGGAGAACTTCAGCGCTTCAAGTGCATCCAACTCATCCCGTCTCGTCTCCTGTCTTCACACCATATACTTGTTTGCAGAAGCTGTACCTAACCTGGTGGCGAGGCACTGTACCACTTTACATCCCTATCTCAATATGAAGTGTTCCCAACAGTTGGATTACTTGGTTCTTTATCATGTTACTCAGTAAGTTCCTTGTTCATTCTTTTCGTATAATAGATATATAATGCTGTATAGTTTGTAAAGTATTTTTTTTTTAAATGGGGATTTTGTTTACGTTATAGTTCGGAAATCGGAATCATCGTATTTTCTGGTGAATGGTGATAATATATAAGACTAATTAGTGGAATCTCTGAGCCGATCAAAGTATCTCAAAAACACCCCAAATACGAGATATATATATACAGGGTGGGCCAAAAGTCAGTACCCATACGTTGGGTCTTATACCTCCGCCGTGTTTTATATTTGAGAGTTGTTGCTTTGCAGATGGCATACTGTACCTACTGGTTCGAGGATTCTGTCGCCAAAATTTTAAAATTCGAATATTTTAGACCACGCCCATTCAATATTAAGACACCTATATTGTTCTCTCTGAACATGCTGGACGCCTAATTTTTTCAGAGACGGTAGATTATTGAATGTTGCATCTGATCTGAAAAAATGATGTAAAACAGATTAGAAATGACGAAGTTATCAAGCATTTTGAGTATCTCGTTAGCAAAATTGATTAGGTGATTATGTGACACGGTGACACGACACCTTAATTGGGCAGCCTTTACGATTCCCATAATGTTTAACGGGGTGGTTAATGGGGTCACCTTATCACGTGATTAGGTAAGCCAATCACCTGATCACACGTAATGAATAAACTCGTTATGCTTCGTATCTCGGTCATCTGAGAAGCTACATCTCTAATTTTTTCAGGACAAACGTAATTCGAATGGCCAAACACAATTCAATCAAATTTAGCTCGATCCGACTATCTAAACTATCAAATAAATGCGAAAATGAACCTTCATTTGAAAAAAATGAACAAGAATATTTTTCGAATTGACAAATTCCTTGAACCAGTGGTGGTACTAAGTCATACCAGAAAGAATTATTTCAATTGGGCAATCAGTGACTGAGCTATAAAGGCCAACGTATGGGTACTGACTTTTGGCCCACCCTGTATATATAGAAAATCAGAACATTACAAGTTGTGTAACCCAGTTCTGTGCAGGACGTTAGAGATCGTGCTTCCTCTGATGGAACACCCCTCTGAAGAGTTCCTAGCTTCAGTAGAGGAGGACCTCATTACACTTATCATGAAGTGTGGACAACTCATTGTTCAGGTTTGTAAACATAACATGTGCCCTGTACAGTGTATATTTTACTATTTCAGAAGTAGATAAGGCCTCTAACTTCATCTCACATCAAGTGGAATTATTCCTTGTGTACACTGTTAATATTGATCAATAGCTAATTAAACTAATTAACTAATAAATAATAAATAATAACCTTATTGCGGGGAGTAATGAATGTACGGGTTAAATTTCTAAAACAACTTCCTAAACCAGGCGTGTGTAAGCTGTTTGGGAATCCTGATAAACACCATGACACACAACTACAAGCTAGCACAGGACTGCTTTAAGAAGTTCTTCATCTGTTTAGCCCAGTACAAGAAACAATTCATTGAGAATCCAGAGGACCCAAGTTTGGAAAGTCAGAAAGGAGTTGTCATCAGGTCCCTCTTTACTGTGGGACTCCTCTGTCAACATTTCGAGTTCGATCAAGGTACGACTTGACTGCAATTTTGATCAAAAAATATTTTTGAAATTTTTGAAAATTTTCTAATTAATTGATTAATTAATAATATATGATCTAAAAGTTGTTATCTTTTATTTTTAAACACACTGGTTCAATCTAGAATATTCTACGACAATCAGAAGTCGAACGCATTTGCTTAATTTGTTATAATTGGCCTAGTTGACTATTTATCAAATTTTATATTCTATCGCAGTATCGTAGTACCACAATCTCTGATAAATCCAAGATAACATTCAATAATGGGGGGGTGTCACGTCCGTCTATGTCCGCTTGTCTCATAGAATCCAAAAAGGACAGGACATAGGCGGACATAGGCGGACATAGGCGGACATAGACGGACATAGGCGGACATAGACGGACATTGGCGGACATAGACGGACATTAGCGGACATTAATGGACACCTAAATTGCTAAATAAAATGTTCAATTTTTGCTGTTATAGGGGGATCATGTTTTTTGTCCGTTCGGTACCCTATATTTTCAAAACGGACAAAAAATAGAGCGGACAAAAACGGACAAAAATGGACAAAAACGGACAAAAATGGAAATAACATTTAGATGCTTCCTCCTCCTCCTCCTGGGTCTTCCTGATCTTCCTCAGTCCTCTTCCTCCTCCCCTCCTCAGTCCTCCTCCTACTCCTCCTCCTCGTCCTCAGTCCTCCTCATCAGTCCTCAACAGTCTTCCTCCTCCCCAGTCCTCCTCCTCCTCCTGAGTCTTCCTCCTGGGTCCCCCTCCTCCTCTTCATCCTCCTCCTCTTCCTCCTCAGTCCTCCTCAGTCCTCCTCCTCATCCTTCTCTTCAGTCCTCCATCCTCCTCCTCAGTCCTCCCCAGTCCCCCTCCTCCTCCTCCTATTCAGTCCTCCTCCTCCTCCTCCTCCTCAGTCCTCCTCCTTCTCAGTCCTCCTCCCACTCCTGAGTCCTCCTCCTCCTCCTCCTCTTCCCTCTCAGTCATCCTCCTCAGTCCTCCTCCTCAGTCCTCCTCCTCCTGGGTCCTCCTCAGGTCCTCTTCCTCCTCGGTCCTCAGTCCTCCTCCTCATCCTTCTCATCAGTCCTCCTACTCCTCAGTCCTCTCCCAGTCCCCCTCCTTCTCCTCCTCCTATTCAGTCCTCCTCCTCCTCCTCCTCCTCAGTTCTCCTCAGTCCTCCTTATCATTTCTCCTAAGTCCTCCTCCTGAGTCCTCTTCCTCCTGAGTCCTCCTCCTGAGTCCTCCTCCTCCTCCCTCTCAGTCATCCTCCTCAGCCATCCTCCTCAGCCATCCTCCTCAGCCATACTCCTCAGTACTCCTCAGTCCTCCTCCTTCTCAGTCATCGTCAGTCCTCCTCCTCAGTCCTCCTGAGTCCTCCTCCTCCTCCTGGGTCCTCCTCCTGGGTCTTCCTGATCCTCCCCAGTCCTCTTCCTCCTCCCCTCCGCAGTCCTCCTCCTCGTCCTCAGTTCTCCTCATCAGTCCTCAACAGTCCTCCTCCTCCCCAGTCCTCCTCCTCCTCCTGGGGCCTTTTCCTGGGTCCTCCTCCTGGGTCGTCCTCCTCCTGGGTCCTCCTTCTCCTCCTCAGTCCTTCTCCTCCTCCTCCTCAGTCCTCTTCCTCCTCTTCCTCCTCCTCCTCCCTCTCAGTCATCCTCCTCAGCCATCATCCTCAGTCCTCCTCCTTCTCAGTCCTCCTGAGTCCTCCTCCTGAGTCCTCCTGCTCCTCAGTCATCCTCCTCAGTTCTCCTCCTCCTCCTCCTAGTTCCTCCTTCTGAGTCCTCCTCCTCCTCCTCCTCCTGGGTCTTCCTGATCCTCCTCCTCCCTCTCAGTCATCCTCCTCAGTCATCCTCCTCAGTCATCCTCCTCAGTCATCCTCCTCAGTCATCCTCCTCAGCCATCCTCCTCAGCCATCCTCCTCAGCCATCCTCCTCAGTACTCTTCAGTCCTCCTCCTTCTCAGTCCTCCTCAGTCCTCCTCCTGAGTCCTCCTCCTCCTGAGTCATCCTCCTGAGTCCTCCTCCTCCTCCTCCTGGGTCCTCCTGGGTCCTCCTCCTGGGTCTTCCTGATCCTCCCCATTTCTCTTCCTCCTCCCCTCCTCAGTCCTCCTCCTACTCCTCCTCCTCGTCCTCAGTCCTCCTCATCAGTCCTCAACAGTCCTCCTCCTCCCCAGTCCTCCTCCTCCTCCTGGGGCCTTTTCCTGGGTCCCTATATAATTTGATATAATAAGTTAAAGCTATTAATAGCTTTAGTGTGATTAATAAGTCGTTTATTTTGTACAAAATTATAATACAAGTTGCGAAAAATTCTCAAAATGTTTGTCCGCTAATGTCCACCAATGTCCGCTAATGTCCACCAATGTCCGTCCGAGTCCGCCTATGTCCGTCCGGGTCCGCCTATGTCCGTCCGAGTCCGCCAATGTCCGTCCGAGTCCGCCAATGTCCGTCCGTGTCCGTCCGTGTCCCAAAAAACACGTCCGTTGTCTCATAGAATCCAAAAAGGACAGGACATAGGCGGACATAGACGGACATGACACCCCCCCCCCCCCCCCCAATAATACCTGATAGCGGCCGTTCTCAGTATATTACACAAAACGGACCCCTCAGGGTGTCCGTAAATAAACACCTGATATTAGCTTCTCCGTTTACCGTTTACGATAAGCTCGCTATCTTGCATTATCTTATATTTATCTGTCGCCGTATTTGCGATAAGCCACTGCTTGAATACGTTTGTCGACCAATAACATTTCCGGAAAGACCCCCACGTGACATCTCTGTTTTGTCATTGGAGTTTAGGTAGCACATTATCAGTATCGCAGTGGCTTTCAAATTTGTTCGTTGCCCTAATCTCTTGTGCTGCTAATTCTAAATAATTTGCTTTCGTTATCTCAACAATTGACAAATGCATTTATTCTTTAGTATACAATCAGTTTGTTTTATAAAGACGCCCTTCAAATTACCTTTACGTAATTTACTTTTGATTGCATTTCTCACTTTCGTTCGACAGTACTCGTGCACTCGCAGTCGATTTACGTTCATTTGTTGTTTTACTGTTTCTAATTTAGAAGATTCGCCCAGTGTTTCTAATAGGTCAATAAGAATTGCAGCGCCAGCCGGTTTGACTTTGGCGAGATGACCACCACTTTCATTGCATAGTGCACAAACGTCGTCACTCTATGAAATTGATAGAATTACTGTTAATAATTGCTGAAACACGGTCTTACTGTATTCAAAACGAAAAGAAAGTACGTGTACTATATAATACGGCGGTAAAAGTACAAATGAATACAAATATCAAGGATTTAAGTGAGATTACATTCATATAGTTTGATATCACGTATCACAATTGACAGTACTACTCTTTGCAAACCTCGTCTACAGTTGGAGGGGGTGCGTAAGCTAGCGTTAATGCCTCCTCAGAAATATTAATTTCCAATCTCTGAAATCAATGTATAAATTAAAGTTTGTGCGACGAACGTTCAAATTTACGATTTAAAATGTACGATACAGTGAATAACCGGCAGTGCTTAGAGTGAGTTAGTTTATTACTAGTTTATTATAGTTACTTACATTCTCGGGTTCATCCCTTAATTGGCGTCGGCGAAATAGAGGGAAAGTTCTCTTCAACCATCGCAGGCAAGGTTGGAAGGATGATAGACAATAAAGAGTGAAGCAGTTAACTCCTGAAAATCAAAAGTAATATAATATGTTCAGAATTTCCACTAAACTTTCTTCACAATCAAAACGAGTGGCGAATAACAAAATATGTATTTAGGAAAAAAATGCAGCACTTCAATCAAGTAAACAAGACAAAACTCACGTAATAGAACTTGAAGGGCTAATAGGATAAGGGCTGCCAACAACAACACGATGGCGACATGGAAGATCTTCGAATCAATATCATATAAAGTCATGAATCAAACAAAAGATCTTTTGCAGAAAGATTTAATGTATCTTTTTTTTCTACTTTATTCATATTATTTGTCATTCTTATCTGGTCAAGTTCGGAGACAACCTGTACATTTTTTACTTTTTTAGAAGTGTGTGGTGGAGCCAGCTCAACACAGAATGAAACTCCCTGATTATATGGCTGACAAAACATTTTTCAGGACTTTCTCTGAGTAAAAAAACAAAATTAAAAGGTTGAACGGTTGAGCAGATACAGGTGGTATTAAACAAACCCTTAAAAGGTGGAGATTTAAGGTGGAGACTGGCTCTGGTTGAAGAAACTTTTGATCAAGGTGGAAAAGGTTATTGGTAACACAAACTACATCAAATTTGCAATCTGATGGTTTTTTCAATATTTTATTTAAGTGCTCAACCGAGGTGGAGAAATTAAATGCATTTTTCAAAGCTGCTCAACCGGGGGTGGAGAAAGGTTTAGAGAGTTCTAGGTTAGCTAGAAAGTTGCGTCTCGGCCTTTTCTACTTCCCGTTAAATTTTGTTTTTTCCATTGACGCTCAACAGGGTGGAGATCTTTCATTAAGAAACAGTAAAAAGCCTGTCAAACATGCCTAAATTCATTGGTTTTATCACTAATTTTAATCTGCTCTGCTAACTGCTACTGTAGGGGATCATAAAACTGTTACCTCTTCTGTCTTAAAGCAAAGTGTTCTAGCAAATGAAAAAACTATCAAAGTTGTGAAAAGGTGCTCAACAAGGTGGAGAAATTGTTGATTAAACATCAAAACATTAAAAATGCATTAAAACTGGCCCCACCGGGTTGAGTTGAGCTTTGGCAGTTGATTTCTGGAAGAAATAACATTGGGTGACCCTTTAGCATGTATACAACTCATCAAACTAGCCATCAACCACTCAACCGCGGCGGAGAACCTTGACTTCTGAGGTCGAATTTACGCCCAAATTTTCCAAATTTGAGTCTCCACCTATGTTGAGTGTACTTTTCAGCAAGGATGCCTTGTAATATGAGTTGGTAGATGATTTAGAATCATTGGTATTGCAAATGGACTGCCACAGTCACTCTACAGCTCCTAAACTACAGAATAACAG